AAAAAAAAACAGATCGTACAGATGTTAATAAATTGAATACGTAATTAGTAAAATCCCTCTGTCCATTTATTGTACATGTATCAATAATAACTATGATAGAGTTCATTTAAATAGGAAACTTGCAAAGGAGTTGTTATATCTAAATATTGTATACAATACAAGAATCCCAAATGTTATGTAATACTTGTCATTCTTATTGAAATGAACTCTATGTACATGCTATCACATGTAAAAATATATCCAGATATTTTGCAATTTGTTTTACAAAGTGAATTTTCACATAATAAGATAAATAATTTCATCTAAACATGACTGTGTTTTATATGAAATTAAACAGATCTATGGAAATGAAATACAAGACAAATTTTTCAAATATTGCAAATTGCAAAATACAGAGAGCCAAAGACGGTTGTGGGGTGTGTATTAACTTACCTTATTATTTCATTGCACCTTCATTTGAATCAGGTGACTAACTCTTGTGCATCTCATCTTATGATCAAAAATTAAAACAAATTATATAGATTATGTGCGATTACAGTAAGAATAAAAAAAAGGTGCGAATATATTATTTAAAATATTACATATATTAAAAAATGATTAATTTGAAAATATTAGATGTTTAGATAATAATATTTAACTTTCAAATATAAAAAAAAAAGTTTAGAAACAAAATTCTACGATTCTATTATAAACGTAGATTTCTGATAGAAGTCATTGTGTCAAAACTCAATTTTGTTCAAGTTATACCGATTCAAAATTTGTTAAAATGAAGAAGAATTATAATAATGTCTGTGTACATGTTTGTGATTTCCACAACAAAATGACATCTTTGGCTCTTAAAATATAAAGTATGGATAAAAGACTCACCCAGATTTCGGATCCCCATCAGCTGGCTGTGGAATTGGCATCTCAGGCATGTCTGACATTTTCTGTTGTTGTAGTCCTGATGGACCTGCTTCATCACATGCCAGGGAAACATTTACAAAAGTTGTAGGCTCTATAGTTCTATTGTTGGGATCTTCCTCACTTTCTTCTTTCACAGGTAGGCCTAACAAAAAAATAAAAAATCTATATATTAATAACTTTATTTCTTTCACGTAGAGATTTAAACTTAAAGAATAAAGAAAAAAAGAAGAATAAAAATTTTTTGTCATAAAATCTACCTTCATCTCCATCGCAATCTTCATCCGAATTTTCATCGTCTTCACTACTTTCATCCTCATCTTCTTGTTGTGTAGAGCTTGTCTGATTCTGTGGTATTTGGTTATGTGTAGTTTGTGAACTTGGCCCAGGCACTGCCTGAACATTTTGTACAGTATTACTGTTTGTGTCCATAGGAACTGAGGTGATTTGTTGTTGATTAGCATTGGATATTATCATAGGAATACCCAAACCCATGTTATCCATCATACCCATCCCCATATTGTTTTGATGCTCGTCCACTTGCTGCATCACATTGCCATCTAACCTGTTCTCTGAATTCTGTTCTTGTTTCATTACATTCTGCAATTAAATACAATAAGCAATATTTATTTATTATTCTTAAATATTTTATATAAAAAAATACAATTTCTACGACTACCAGCAACATATAACCTTAAAATGTTTAACCATAACTTAAAGTCAAAATTACTAATGCTTATCTTAAATAAATTCTAAATAACAAAATAATGACAAAATTTAATAAATCGACCAATTATAAAACTTACAAAAGTAGAATTTAAAATATTTTTATCACTAACTAGTAATAGTAACTAAGGTAAACATGGAACTGAATGTCAAAAAATAAAAGAATATCTATGCTTCTATATTTTGTTATGCACTGAATATACATAACAAATAAATGTGCTTTTCATAAAAAGAAAATTACCGGATTTAGAACATTGGTAACATAACCCTGTTTGTCTTCTAAACTGACTTCTCCCAGCCATTGTAATAGTTGTTTTTCTGCGTTTGCAGTGGTATTCCAAAATTGATAAAATAATTCTACTTTATACACGCAATCATCGCATATTTTTTTGGGTAACTTATCTTCTCTTGCAACCTGCAATCATATATAAAACAAAATAACTTACAACAAATTTTATATTTAGAATTGTATATTTACATAATATTTATTATTTTATATTTACATAATAAAAATATTTTCTTAGAACTAATTTAGTATTCTATAACTAGTGCGAATCGCATGAATCATAAGTTATAAAAAAAATGAATAATCATAGTAATAATGAATAAGAAATTTAAAACATTTGTCAGAAATATTTAAAAAATTAATCAATTTCAAAAATTTTCATTTCATTTAAATATAAAAAAAATATTCAATCAAAATATATTCTAAATAATTATTATCTTACCAAAATTCTTAATAGAAAATTCACAAATAAAAGATTACAATACTAAATATAAGGCTCGAATTAATTACATTTTTTTCACAAAGCAGTTTCAAAATATTACGTGGTAACATTGGAAGCACAACTGCAAAAAACACAAATAGTCAATTACAGTTACTTTCCAATAAAAACAATGGTGTCGAAAACAAGATGTCGAAAAGGAAGAGGATTATTCGGCTGTACGTAGTTACTGTAAATAGAGAAATAGCCGCAAATTGCCGGCGTCGAACGAAAATATCGACGGGCTGTTGCTCAGGCAATGATGAAAAAATTTGGGTAGATCCGCAATACATTAAGGCAGAGAAAAAAGCGCGGCAAAATTCTATTGAATAATTCCTGGCGTCATGGATGAGTAAGTGAGATTGGACAGAAAAGAAATGATAAATAGGTGCAACGCCAGTAATATGGCTATCTGGATAATGGTTGCCCGAAACTGTTTGCAATTTCTCGTCTACAGGGCGATCTCTAAAACAATAGGGAGCAAATGCATCTACTGGGAGGTCGAAAAGTCGTGGACGATCGAGGAAATGCGGTGTATCTATGAAAATGCACAAGATGGCGGATCGCCATTGTCGAAGCGATGGCGTAGTTGGCTTACCTTGACCGGTAGGCAGGCGGCGATCTTGAGAAATATTTGTCGTACGTCACCCTCACCCTCGAAAATCGGCACCGAAACACGGTCCTTCACAAGACATAATCGACACAGGTCCAGATAATCGAGGGAGGACATTTTACCGTGTACAACGCCAGCTCGAGACGCAAAACCGCGCCCGTAGACGCGAACGCTATTTCAATCCAAGCCGGAGAAGACCTCGCGTTCTTCGGTACGCGTCGTTTGCTCAGTGTAACTCGCTTAACTTCGGCTTTGTTCGGTTATCCTCGGCTCGCTCGGAGAACTTCGGCAGTATTCGGCAAGACGATTGCGTATCGATTACGCCGCGCTAGAAGCCAACAGCTTTTACACACGACAGTTTCGAACGTTGCGGAGATCTTCTTTTTCCAAATTCATCATTATTTAATGTGGATGGAGTTCACTGTCGCCATGAATTCATTACCAAACCAGAAAAATTGAAAATGTCACGGTACTTATATCACGTTTTTCAATTGGTTTTATTTCTCGATAAAATTTTTATTGTACACGAATCCAATCGCAAGATGGCCACAATCTTGCTAATTTTATGCTCATTTTAAATAATAAAGATATAGTGCGCACAGAGTGTTGCGTATGCTAGATTTGTCTTTGATATCCACTGATTGATCGTCCAGGTGTTTAAGAGGTCGGCCAAGTTAATGCAAACCTATCAAATTTTCATGCACAATTACTCCCACTTCTACGCGTGGATACAATCACGCATGATCAAACGGACAGAGTACAGTTGTCGATGTACAATAAGAATAAATCGAAGCTTTATAAAGGATATATTGAAACTCATTTTCAGTGATATCAAAGTTATACTGAGACTTTAAGTTCACGTTGTTAATTTTTCCAAAAATAAAGTGTCTTTTTGGAATACAAGATTTTTTGTACATCGTATTCGAGTATCCGGTAATGGTCACGTGACTTATTCGGAAATAGTAGAAAACGATTATCTATACAAACTTAAATTATTGTTTAAACTGTACAAGAGACAAATTTACATATAGGAAAATATTTGAATTAAGGATGAACTCGAAATTAATTTTTAAAACTCGAAACCGAAACTTTGTAAAATTTCGAAAATCTCGAAACTTTCAAAATGTTAAAAACTTGAAACTTTCGAAACTCGAAATTTTCGGAGCTTAAAACTCTCAAAACTTTTGACACTCGCATCCAACGAGTTCAAGATACACATAAATCAAGTATTCTTTATTGTGAATGACTTTTTATTCACTGCTTTTATAGAGACTTTCGAATCACGAAAAAAAGTATAAATTTTTGAATTCACGAAATTCGAAACTTTCTTTGGTTTGAAGGAGTTTCGAGTAACTCATCCCTAATTTAAATATACCTATTTAACTTTGTTGATCATACGCGTATAATGAAATTTCTTATTTTTAAAAAGTATATTAACAAGAATTATTATCATTACAGATGTTTGAATGTACAATGGAAATGAACATTACTTACATAATGTATGTCATTACATAAACTCTTGATTAAAGAAAAGGAAAAAATAGATTTTTAAATTTAATGTTTTAACTTTTTGGAAAATACTGGAAACTTTTAAAATATTAGAAAATATTAAAACTTTTAGAACTCGAAAAACATGAGAAAATTAAGTAAATATGTAACTTTTATATCTTCAATCGATATTTAAATTTCATCAAGTCAGATTCTTAGTATCATTAAATAAAAGAGATACACGTATCCATGCAAAGAATAACAGGCACGGTACAGTGCTGCCACGTTTCTATGACGTTGAAATTGTGTAACTTACCCTCACACTCTTAAAGATATCAATGACCTGCCTTGTCTTTTTCAGTGGTTGAGTGAACTTTGCTGTATGTGACAACCTGATTTAAATCGCAACTTACATTACTTTCTGAACTTTTTTATCGCTTTAAATCCGTTTCTCCGATAAAATAACTTTGTAATCTTCATTGCAAAAACTCTTTGAATTGAACGAATATCTAGCATCATATTCTTATGCTATACTTATACATTGGATTAGAAATATACTTTTCGTTATTTTTTAATATTTTAATTGACAAAAGTGATAGATTAATAGTACGTAATACATTATTAATTATGTAACGATTCTTTTCATGTCACCTTATTTTATTTTATTCACATTTTAGTATACACAAGGTAATAAAGTATTTGGGTACATTGGGAGAGAAATGATGGCATTCATTTTAGATAAAAAAAACTGCTTTATTGTGGCAGAGCACATGTATTATCATATACCAGCATATAATTAGGAAGTCCATAGTAATTTACAAATTACGATCCACTTAAACGTCGGTATACGTGGCGGTGTATGCAGGCAGATTTGGGAACCGATTTCGATCACACACATGCTGTTACCGTGTTTATTTTCTTCTTATCAATCGTCTCTTCAATCGTTCAGTTTTCTTATTATTTCGTTTAACATTAATTTTTTTCTTTCGATACTTTTTTTTTTTTTGTTTTTGTTTTATCGGATGGGGAAAGGGAAGGAGGGAGGATCTTCTAAAGATCCTTGCAACGACAGTGCATTATTTATAATACATGAAAACGAGGGATATGTGGTCTTCTTCCGTTCGATTTTTTTTTTTTTTTTTTTTTTTCGAGAAAATTGTACCCGTACAAGCCATTAGGATTTCTATTTTCGTAATCTCTCTTTCTCTTTCGATAAGGACCTTGTTTTCGCATCTTAGAAGTAAAACCGTGATTATCGCAAGTGACAGTATTTCTTCCAGATATTTTCTTCTTCTTCTTCTTCTTCTTTTTCACGATAAATTTCTTTTTTTATTTCATTAATTTTAAGAAAGAATGAAAACCGAAGTGAAAGCCTTGGAGATATCTGCATAGTAATTAGACATTTCTTCGGAACACGATTCAATCTGAAGGAAGCTTTCGTCAATCCTCCTATTATTATGTACACGTTAAACAGTTTTCAGCTTAAGATCGAAATTTGTTTTTTCATTGTTTTTCTTAGTAGAACTGATTTCCTTCCTCGAATTGTCAATACTTTTAACAAAATTTCTCACTCGTTATATATACACAATGCAAGTGTGAGGAAGGAATTAATTTTTGAAGGGCACAGGTGAAATCAACGTTCTTAACGATGTTAAATTATCATGTTGGGTATGGTTTGCGAATAGATAGACGCATCTATGTTTCAGATATGAATGTTTGTTACTAATAATTTCCTTTCCCTGGTGAAACGATTTGAAAAATGAATAAAGTCGTAGTTGAAAGTTTAATAGGAGGACTAATTATCAAAACAGCCTCGAAAGTGCAACACGCCAAATTTTGCTGTTTCCTTTTTCGCTCTTGCGTTCACTTTTTCTTTTTTTCTTCTTCTTCTTCTTTTTTTTTTTTTCTTACTCGACTTTTTTTTCTCTCGCAGCTTATAGTCTGCGTCGTTAATGAAACCGCAATAAAACTGTATTATTTCGATGCTCATATATAGTTAATTAATTAGTTTGTTAATTAATTTGTTAAATTCGTAACTATTTTACTTACACTTTATGCTATAACAATAATAGCAAAAATTGCGTGAATGTGTGTCTAAATTTTTTTCTCGTTTAATCTCATTATCTCTCCGAGTTGTCGTAATGTAAATTTACAGCTATTACAAATATTATTGTTTATATTCGTGTAAGGTAACATTAATGGTAATCATCGTGTTCGTTATCTACTAATACAAAGTTAAAAATGCGGGAAGTTGAAATTTTCGCGGTCACACCGCAGAATATATTCGTGTATATCATACGTACTTACATGCATTCCAGGCTTCGAGTTTATCGCTCGCGTTAAATTGAAATTAATAGAACATGTTATCGCTAGCTGCGATCGTAATATCGTTTGCAATCGACAAATGCAAACGAATAAAATTGATTTCCTATATAAAATATTAGCATAACGACTATGAAACTTAAGCTTGTTTTCTGAACCTCTACACTTTATATTCCATGAATTTTATATAGAACGAGATGGAACGTGGTGGATAATACGTAATTCGTAATCAACACAGTTAATTATTCGAACGCTAAACATAACACGTCCTCTTAATTTCAATTCTTATTCTCGAATTTCAAATGCCAATTAACGGTTCGTTAAATTTAATTTAAGCCAATCAACACGTACTCAACACGTTAATTCAATTGATCGAATTGTCGAATGTGGGATGAAAATTCTTGCGCCTCCTCGCACCTTCTTACGATGATGTCTGTTAATCGATAACTTTAAAATCGTTCGTACCTTTCGTCTCTCCTCTAATATCGAATAATACGAATTTCTTTAAATCTTCAATCGATTCAATTCTGTAAGAAGTGTAAATGATAAGTAACCTTCGTGAAGGTTTGAGCCGTTGTGTATCGAAAAACACCAGACACCATGCAAAAATTTCTCATCCGCTTTTCTCTCTTTATTAAAGATCAGAACGACTGATGATTTTCTTAAACTTCACTTTTTTTTGTTTTTTGTTCTTTTTTTTTTTTTTTCTTGTTGGTTAAGTCTTAACGTCATCTCGCTTATCCAGCAATACTGGGACTAATTAAGCTAGCGTTGGTCGAAGATCGTTGACAATTTATGCATATTTAATACATTTCACACCATATCGATATAAGACCTCGTTTTTTTTCTCTCTCTCTCTCTCTCTCTTTTTTTAACAAGCTAAAATGATCAAACATCGATGGGAGAAAGATGATAGAAAAACGCAATGTTCTATCGCGATCGAATGAACGAAGCATATAATCTGACTTTGAACGGTATAATCTCCTTTCCGCGTCGGATCGCTATGCATCTCCTAAGTTTCGATATACTATAACGATTTATAGTATGAGCTACCATTTGAAAAATTTCTCACTTTAAAATTAATCGTTAATATATAGTTTCTCTCTTCTCAAACGAGGATGTGCCGGACATAAGTATATTATAAGACATCGTTTACATTAGTAAAATTTCATCAGTTTGCAGTCACTCGTATCCGTTAGTCTCTACCAGTGAAAACGCTTTGCTTGTCTTGTTCTTGCGTAGGATACGAAATGAACGAAGATCGTAAACGTATAAATTCGTAGCCAACTGTTCACGTAGAAAAGAAT